ACTTTGGAAAGTCTCACAAACCTCACACTTCACTCCGAAAGTGAAGATGATTATCTCAGGGACTATAGGACGTTTTGCTAGTTCCACGTGCCAGAAAATGATTCTCCTCTTTCAAAGGAATCCCTAGATCGGCAGACTGGAAGGCACTTGTATGTGTGTATTGACCAACGGTTACTGAAAATGGATGATGATTCACAGGCTAGTTGAAGCTTCCGTGCTTTGCCTCAGCGGAAAGCCGAATGCCAAGGTACAGTCCACAGATCAGGAGAAAAGCCCTGGTAGAAATGCGATATACGCGCATGCGCAAGATTTCGCGGTGAGTTTTCAGTCTGTGTAGTAGCGTAGAACTCTGACGTATCGCACTTCCCACCAATAGCAGCCATCTAGTCCGGCTGATAAGTAACATTCCCCCCGCACCGCACCAGAAACGACTTCGCCCCCGCAGGGCTTTTCTCGTGATCTGTGGACAGTAACATTCAAGGGGGTGGGGGAATGACCCGCATAACTCTGATCGTGGAGGCCTTCAGCAAAAATTAACCAAAACCATCCGGATTCAACTCCGAAATACCCGTCACACCAAAGTACAAATTTCCCGATCTGATAATTCTCTCATCTTTAACATGAATTAATTTTGAGCATACTGGACAGAACAAACGTCATCGGCTGACGATAAAAATTCCAGTAGGCACTAGCAATGTCGAAAAGCCGCGAGAGACGGATAATATTAAACAGTTTCAAACAACAAGCTGATTTATGATGTAGGATATTAGCATAGAAATTAATACTGATTCTAGAATCTCGTAAAGTAAATCCTCCTTAACACGCCTTATTGTTGCATAAACTTGCGTGCACCTGGAAAATAACATGAAAGTACCTATCGGCCTATGAGGTGGCTTGGCTAAAGGCGAATTCTCATCCACGCTTATTGAATCAGGATCTTTACTGGATAGGAAAACATATGGCCTGTCCCCACCACATCCTAATATGCGTTACCTACACGCTCTCTTCTCAAGTACCTGATAGTACGACGTCAGGAAGGTGTTATCGACGGCGAAGAGAATGCCTGGAGCCCTGTGCACAATTTCTGCAATTCTGGCGATGTCGCACAGACTGAGCAGGGGATTAGACGGCGTCTCCAGGAACACGAGCTTCGTGTTCGCCTGCAGAGCATTCTCGACGTTCTCCGGGTCTCTTGCGTCTACGTACGTCGTGGTGATGCCCACTCGCCCGGTTATCTGCAAACACACGTCTCTCACTCAGCCACATACGTACATGCAAAAACTGCAGCGTTGCTTCAACATTTTCAGATTTTTTGAAACAACTTGCATGGGATTGCCCGCTTCGATGTTTGGATTTCTAATAAAAAGCTG